AGATGTGGCTTAGGATTCAGTTTTCTTTTTTCATAAAATAACTTGCATTACTTTTTAGGTGGCTACATATAGAACTCACCCACACACCTGCTTTAAAGACATCTGGTTGCTACCTTGGTGCTTAACTATGTGTTACATCATTGTGTAGCATGTGCCCGATCTTCATTTGACTTCCATTTTTATGCACCTCTTGTATATGAGAATCTAGATTTAGATTAGGCCCATACATTTATTTTAAAAACAAGCAAAAATTATGCCTGACATTTGGAGGAGGGGAAGGAGGGAGCATTTTATTTTTTATTAAAGTATCTCATTCTGGAGGAAATTATGTCTGCAGTGTATTTGCTCTGACCGGGTCTGATTTAGGTCCTGTTTGCTTAAGACAACTGTTGAATATATAATTAACATAAAGCATAGTTTGATCTTTATCAAATGTTTGTTTCTGTGTATGTTTGTAAGTGTGTGATGTAGTAACCGTTGTAACAAGATCAGGATAAAAGGGATAAAATTAAGATAAGGGAAATATAATATTGGAAGCTCATGTTAGATTTGGAAAGAGGAATAATTGGCAATATAGGAAAAATATAGTCAAACTAGGCAAAATTCCTGCAGTGATTGAATAAGGTTTCCATTTGCTCAAATAGTGGAGTTTTTAAATGTGGTAAAGTGGTTTTTATACACATTTGCTGCATTCCAAAGCATATTTTTCTTTAGAGTAAAGAATGCATGTTGAAATGACTTACAATATCTTTCTGTTTTCACTCTTGAGACTACTTTGAGAATATGTCATTTTGCTGCCAAACTTTAGAAAATTCTTCCAAGTTCTTACTCCTGTATCATATACTTTTAATTGTAGCAACTGTTATGTGCAGCAAAACAATTTTTCTCTGTTTCTTAATGCTTGTGTATGCAAAAAAAATCTAAAAAAGCAATAATATATAAATGTATATTGTGTTTGTTTAATTGAGTTTGATTTTTTTTCCAATTTGTCTTCATGATATTTGGTGGTTAAGGCTTTCCTTAATAGTAGGAAAAGTTGAATAGAGAAAAGCCCAGCTTCATATTTTACAAAATAAAGTGTCAGATTTTGTTCTCTTCACTTTTTTAGCTCAATTTGGCATTTGTAGAAATAAAGTAACTACTGTATCTTCTACATTCTATATTATCAAAAACAGTGTAAATTGTTTAATATTTTATAGATGCTTGAAGCCTGAAGCACTTTTATCATATCATACAATGTGATATGATAAACTCTTCAAAAAAAGTTAAATTCTTATGCTGACTGGCTTCGTTTGTCAGTTCCCATAAGCATTTGGGTCCTTGACAGTCAATAAAACTATAAAAACAATTCCTCAGGAATAAAACACTTTCTGACCCAGCCAGTAGAAATATGAGATTTCATTCTAAGGGAAAGCCCAATATATACTTTAGTAACTCAGAAAGGAGGGAAAGGTAACTATAGTTACACTTCTTATGTATAGAGAAAGTATTTGCTACAGCTTTTCTTTTTAAAAAGGTATCTTTAGAAATTCTTATCTTTATACTGATTCGTTCTATTCCACATTGATAACATCCTTATTAACCATCCAATTGGCTTTTTTGTATATTTTTTTATATATGCAACAGATTTAATGTAAGATAATGATAACAACTATTTTTAATATATTTTATTTTTAATAACTAAATAAATGTCTTCTTCTCACAATAAAATAGACTGCAGAAACTACACTACAATTAGGGCAAGTGTTAAACCAGGAATAAAGCACATGCTTTTCCTCTTGAAGATCCTAAATTTTAACTTCTTCCATCACCTCATAGAATATGAAAGGTTCCTGCTTGAAATCCTTAAAACCACCTGTTGATCAATGTAGATAATATTGAATGGACCAAAGGTCTGAAATTGCTTGTATTCAGCAAGTGGCGCATATAAGAAGAAGCCTGCAGCATATAAAGAATTAAAGTAGTCTGGTTTCTAATTACAATGTAATATATGTTCAATATTGTAAAAACCTGGCAAAGAGATTAAAAGGATGAAAAATAAAATTATACAACTGGATTGATCCATTAATATTGTTCAGATTTGAGAGTATTGACTATCTTCTATGTTCATCACTTTCAATATTTCTGTACAAAAATAATGTATCATTTAATTAATTATTAATGAATTATTTACTTATTTTTAAATTAAGCATTTCTTGATTCTGTATTCTATAAATGTACTTGTTGTGGTTTGTGATGTGTTGCATTTTTGTATGTGATCCCACTGAGTGCTTACAGTATGTACGTGTTTTGCATGTATGCATGGGTTTGTGCACAAATAATAGGGTATATAGAACACATGTTATTTGTGGTTTTTTTAGTTAAAACAGAGCCAATGAGCAGCAGTGAAATTGCTACTACAACAACAGACAGGTCTTTAGAGAATTTCTCAGGATCAGGTAAGAAATAAAATATTTTCACCATATCTAAATGTCTGCCTCATAAATAAAACAAATAATGGTTTTAATACTTATTTAACAAGTTGTTTCCATGGCAGAAGATTATATAGCAATAGCAATAATATTTAGACTTATATTCCACTCCATAATGTGTTACAGCTCTCTGAGCAGTTTACAGAGATAGCATACAGTCCCCAACAATCTGGGTCCTCATTTTACCAACTTTGAAGGATGGAAGTTTAAATCAACCTTGAGCCAGCCAGGATCAAGGCTGTGGAGTTTGTGTGTGTGTGTGTGTGTCTTTGTGTGTGTGTGTATGTTTGTGTATGTAATATATATTTCTTTCTTGGGATCTATAGTAATTGGCTAGGAATAGAGTTGTAAATATTCCATGGGGTGATTGCTATAAAAACAGATTTATTACTGGGGATCATTAGGAAAAGAATAAAAAAATAAATCTGCCAGTTTTATAATAGTTTTAAATCATACTGATACACTGACTAACCATTGCAACTGAAAAAGATTAACACAGAACCAGAAAAGCTGCAGAATAGAATTAGAGGCAAGGAAAGTACAAGAAAGGCATGTAGGACATGCATGGTGTATAGTATGAAGAGAATTTCTCACCCTTTCTCATAATATTTTCAGAACAAATAACAGGATTTGTTTTTACATAATGAAGTATATAGCTAAACTCTGGGATCTAATTCTAGAACATGTAATAAGTTTCACCAACATGGACAGCCCTAAACAGATATTAGACAAATTTATAGAAGATAAATATATTAATGACCATTATTTTTAATATAGGTTAGGTCTAGTATAAAAGGCTTTATGTTTCTTAACACAAGTTGCTGATGAGGTAAGGTGGTATTATTTGCTTATCTCATTTAAGAACTTCTCATAAGCATTTGTTTATCCATAGTACAGTAGGAGCAGCTTAACTCTGAATCTCCCATGGCAGAAACTGTGAAGTAATCACCTGCCAGTCTAATTCAGTTCATAATACGTAAATAGTTTTCCTGAACCTTTTGATATTCATAGAATAAAGAATAAAATAGTTGAGCTCCAGATATTACAATGAATGACTTCTTGTTAATTTCATGGGTAACAACCAAGCAGCTTGTGTAGTCTGCTGCTTCTGCATATTTTCGGGAACCAAACAATCTTATTCTGAAAATATACTGTTTACATCTTTTCAATATGAATATTCTTACATTTTAAGATTCTGTCAGCACTGAACTTTCTTTGAAGATACCATGTTTAGCATCTTGATATTCTGCATATCTTTCTGAATTTCAGTAGAAAATGTGTAGTAGACTGGACCCATGTTTAATTTTCAGATCTTTACATGTTATTGAAAAGATCCATTGTAACCCTGGGAGGCTACTGTCAAATAATGTGCAATAGAAGTGGAAAATCTCAGATACTGTTTGCTAGGCTTCCAATTCTATTCATTAGTTCTTTGGTAGCAAATGTATGAATAGAGATCCTGCTTGGGAAATTAATTCATCCACTCTCTTGCTATCTCCAAAGTTAGATAGAATATGTAGGAAACTAAAAATGTTGCTACACTCATAACTGAATTGCTCTTTTTAAAAATTGTATTATTTTGTTGCTGTCCAGTCCTCTAAGAATTTCTGCACTGTGTGCCAATCTGTCCATATAAAAAAAACAGTGCTGTCAATTTATAATTCAAAGAAAATTTGAGTACGTACTATCAAGCTGGTGTCAGTAAATACATAGATGGACCTTGACCAGGATAATGTGTCTCCAGCTTAGCCCTTCAGGTTTTCCAGAGGTGCACTCATTGCTGGTATAATTGATTGCATCTATCCTGCTACTGATTGCCATCTTCTTCTCTATACTTTCACAGCATTGCAAACTTGATAGGAGAACTGAGTCTCATATAATGTGCCTAAAATAAAGTAATTTGACCCTAGTCATTTGTGCTTTGAACGGGAACCCTGACTGATGAGTTCTATGATCCATCTGAAGATTAAACACAAGAAACATGGCCCTTAGGTGAAAAATACTCCTCAGTTTTGATTTAGAAAGTAATGGATTAAAAATCTGCAGTGATATAAAGAACATCCTGAGTTGTACAAATTTGTTGAAGTCAGGATTTTAAAGATATCATTCATTTACATGAATAAGTGTTTAATTTCAGCTCTAGGTTTTTAGCATGTGAGAGAGAAAAAGGAAGACAGATTGTTAGTTAAAGATAATTAGCTTCTGATTAAAATATCACTCATATAAAATGTAGAGTATTAAGGAAGAGTGAAGTTGAAAGAAAAAAAGTAACTTCAACATTAATTAAATAGAGCCAAGTATGACAGGAGGTAAAAATTATGAATGATCCCTTAGGAGCAATTGAAAAAATGTAATTTGTAATTAAGATACAGGAAGTTGTCATGCTAGTCTGACTTTAATAAACTACTACTTGATATTAGTTTAATTAAATGTCTAAAGTTCTCTAAAAAATAATATTTAGATTAGATATGTTCTATGTATGTGTTTACACTTCCATGTGCTTCCCCCCCCTTCCCTATAGCAATTGGGAGCAGTGGCTTCAGCCCAAGACAAACTCACCAGTTTTCTTCACCTCAGCTATATCCTTCCAAGTAAGATATCTTTACTTTAAATTGAAAAAGAAAAGTTATACCCAGCTTTTTATCGCTGTGATTGACTCCATCTGTTAAATTGTAGTTAAAATCAGTTTACTATTGCAAAAGAATGAACTTCAAAATAACAAAATAAATCTTTAGTTATAGAACTATATTAATATACTTTCATATATCACTAAAATGTTTAGATAATACTTTTACCAATATATCATTCTGTTATTTTAATGCAAAGATTTTTTTTCTATTTTCTATCATTTTTGCATGTAACAGCAGACCATACCCACATATTCTCCCTACCCCTTCTTCGCAAACTATGGCTGCATATGGGCAGACACAGTTTACCACCGGAATGCAACAAGCTTCTACTTATTCAGCATACCCACAGCCTGGTCAACACTATGGAATCCCATCATATGGTGAGTGAAACTGGAAAATGGCAACAGGTATCCCTATTACAGAGGGATAAGCAAGAATGTTATTTAACCAGCTGACAGAATTTGCAAATATTATTTTAAAAGTGCAAAAAGAACTTGACATTAAAAATATAACTGTAAAACTTTAAAAAGATTTTAGTTAGGCTTGAGTATTTTAAATCTATACATTGAATCAAGTTATGGTGCTAAATTGAAGTAATCATTAAAGCTGTGTACATTGTTCGAAAGAAGTTGTTTGGAAGAAACAGGTGCAAATACATGCATTTTTGAATTGTTAAAGCAGCTGCATCTTTTTCTAGGAAGTTGATGCCAGTCCTTTTTGCATATATAGAGATAGGTAGCATAGGACATCCCAGTTGTGCAAACCTATCAAAAGATGCAACTGTTTTAACATTTTAACATTTTCTGAAAGGTTTATATAATCCCAATTCTATTTGTTTAGATGTGAATTTATAATTTGCTACAGCCAGGCTGTGCTAAATGGTAAATAAAAGCCACACTCAATGCAAGAACATCAGTAATATGCAATAATAGAAGTTACAAAGTATAATATATATACTATTCCTGTACCAAGTTGCTACCTCTTTTCTAAATAGCTTACTAAAATTCAGATTTCTTTTTTAAAATGATAGAAAGATTTTGAGATTTTAAAATGTAATAAATGCAGAACAGATTTTTCCTAGTTAATCTTGAACTGCAAACTTTCTTTGCAGCTGACCACCAATAGTGGGCACAGGCTTTAACAGCTTTACTTAAGCATCATTACTTATCTCAATTAATTGGAATTGATTATGACCTAAATATATTGAAAGACTGCTGAGTCACGTAAAATACCTTGGATAATAAATATCACCAATGGCTATAGATATATTACTTCTGGATGAAAACAAATTTTATACAGTACAATAGTCAAACAAATAAAAGGGGGGTTATTTTAATATACATTTTTAATACAAAATAAGACCAGTGTAACCACTCTTAAATCTTAATTACATACATATCAGCCTACTTTGGAGTACCTTAGTGTGGTGCATTTTTGAATGGATTCTTTTCAATCCCCCATTATGTAATATAGTATTGCTAAATGCAGAATGTTAATAGAGATGATTGAAGTCTATAGCATTCTGATCTATAATGTTTCCACAGTATTTTTTCTTTATATCCTTGCTTCCACATATTTAATGGACCTTCGTTTTATTTATATTAGGGTTCAATATGCATATGTAGATCCTCATAATTCTCATTATTATCATTACCAAAATTTAATAATATCATTTATATTTTTTTCTTCTAAAGATAAAGAAGAGAGTAAAATATTAGGAAACTCTTTTAAAATAAAGCCATCCCATAGACTAACAGGATCATATAAAAATTTACACCAGTGCTGTATGTAATATTTCCATAATGTCAGCTTTCCTTTTTCAATAAACCTCAAGGAGAAGATGATTAGCATTGAAGAAGGTCTTAGCTTTCAGGCCTATTCATAACACAAAAAGAGCTCATGTATAGCTTGAAACAATATTGGCATGATCCACTTGATGAGCTTCCTCTTGTATGTCAAGTCATTATATTTATTTACTCCAAATAGATTGTTTTTGCAATGTAATACAATGACTTGTGGTATGGAAACCAACCACAAAGTGAAAGTCATGTACAAGGCTGCAATACACAAAAGTTCATGAAGCATTTCCAAGAAGTCTCAAGAATACGTAACTACTTTCCAGTACAGATTTTTCTTGCAGTCCCTAAAATTGGAAAAGAATAGTCAAATATTATGGCTAGTTGTTTGATAATCTTAACATCTTAAGACATCTTTAGACTGACTGCATAAATAGGACTTTTTTTTAAAAAAAAAAGTCTATATTTTTTAAGAAGAGACTGGACAGCCATTTGTCCGAAATGGTATAGGGTTTCCTGCCTGAGCAGGGGGTTGGACTAGATGACCTCCCAGGTCCCTTCCAACTTTTTTTAAATTTATTATTATTATTATTATTATTATTATTATTATTATTATTATTATTATTATTATTATTATTATTATTATTATATTGTTATGCTGGAGAAAAAAGTTTCTCTAGAGTGCATCTCTATATTTGCAAATGTTTTTTTAATTTAATAAGGGTGAACATTTTTGGGATAGGATATGAATTTTAGTTTTAGTAAGTATTTAAACCCTATTTGGTTTATTTTAATCTGTTCCTGAAAAATTTGAAGAAAAGACTGTAAAGTTAAGAAAGTTGCTTTAATGAACAGCAGAGATGGTTTTGAAGCGTATAATCCCAATTATTTTGAATCCTGGCACAGCCACAATGGACATGTATTCTTAAGTCCATTCCGGGCTGAAAAAGACAATTGCCCTTCTTTTAAATGTCTCTTTTGTCATAATTTGGTGTTAGAAGCAGTGCTAATTGCAGAAAACTTAAATGTGTATACATTGGTCCTAGCAATTGATAAATAAAAACATTGTTTAATCTATAAGTTAATCATACTAAAGTTCATAAACTAAATCAAAATGTTGAATTTATTTCTGTTAATAGATCATTCTTATATTTATAATATTTAAGTTTTAGGAAAATCAGTTTTAATTCAAGATAAATCCCTTATTATGAGCTTCAATTTAGAACCACATATCTTCCATCTTTCTTCTTTTTTACTACTTCTTCGTGTTTATCAGTTTCTAGTCATAAAGTGTTTAATAGGAAACACCCAGAAAAAATATATAGATGGCTTCTTATCAGTTGGAATGAGAGAAAAATAGTTGATCAGATACTTAATGCTTTTAAACTAAAATGATGCTTTGTTATTTCTACTTCATGCTGTCCATCATGTTTCTCTCTATATAGAGAAACTTTTGAGTAAGATCTGTATTCAAAAGGCCCTTATTTTTTATTTACTCAACAATTAAACCCACCAAATTCTAAAGGGCATAAATGTAATATTTTATGTTGAAATTCTATGATCATTCTTCAGACTAGCCCCACTGAACTCAACTGAAGTTGCTTCTTAGTAGACATTCATAGAATTGCACTGTACATAATTTAATCTAGGATTTGTTGATCAACAAATCCTAAATTGATAATACTAGATTACTGTAGATTAAGTATTTAAATTACAATGATTAAATTCTTCAAAATAGATGATGAATTGTGGTTTAATGCATGGATCATTATGTGATTTATTAATGCCCTCTAAGTGTTGAAAATGAACAAATAGCTTTGCTATCACTAACTGATTTAGGTGCATTGTGGGCAGGCATCAAGACAGAAGGTGGATTGACACAAACACAGTCACCTGGTCAGACAGGCTTTCTGAGCTACAGTGCAAGTTTTAGCGCTCCTCAACCAGGACAGGCTCCATACAGTTACCAGATGCAAGGTCTGTATAAATGATTAGAATTCATTTGGTTTTAACATATTGTTTTGATTTATTAAATTCAGGATTTCAATTCATTCAATGAATCAGTTGATGACAGTTGTACATTTATATATTTTGCATTTTGGTCATTCCACATAAGCCCTGACTATGCACACATTGTATAAATTATTATATGAATACAACATAGATATTTATGATGAAAATACCTTTAAAGGAATTGTGGGTTGTAAATATTCTAGCCTCCATCTGAGCAGAAACAGTGACAGTACAGGTTTTTTATTGTCTGGAAATCAGAACATAAACATTTTTATATGTGTTTTTGACTGCTACACTATCTGTACATATATAAATTGTAGGTGGGCAGAGCTTATTGCCAGTTCATTGTTCTTGTGTCTGAACATCTGAATACAATTTGTGAATAAGCATTTTTCATTCAAGCCACCAGTTTTAGTGATTTTGGAATATCAACAGGTTCAAAAATGTTTCTTAAAGTCTACTTCTCCATCACAATAAAATACAATAATGTGGAAAAATTTTCAAGAATATAAATCTAAGTTTGAGACAGTTGTATTCATAAGTATGGGTTTGTTATCTAAAAATTTAAAATAATCTCTCAAATTAACTTGTCAGTACAATCTAGTTAATGTTGGAAGACAGCTTTGGAATTTGTTTCAGTATAAAATATTACTGATTAAATGTTATTAACTTCAATAGTACTTTTTTTCTAATAAACTGTATATTTTATGCCAGTATTTTTTAAAAAATAGTACTCTTTTGAGATGACAAATGGAAAGAAACATAATCTCTAAATTTAAAGTGGGATAACTTCAACACTTACACAATTGTTATGAAGAACAGAAACTTTAACATATTAATGAGGTCGAGCTTACCTTTTAGAAAACATATACAGAATCCTTAGCTGGAAAGCAAGGTTAATACTTTCTGAAATAATAGTAAATTTGAATGCTGAACATGATGATCAAGTATTAAGGTTAAACTATATATTTTATCTCTGATATACAATTGCTGCTTTAATCTTGTTGGGTACAATGACTTTATCATATAATTATTCTACGTTTGCTAAATAACAACATGACTGAGATTAAAAGTGTAGGTACTAATGAATGTGTCGTACTGTTTTTGTTCTTAATATATGAATTTTTTATGCCTTGTGAACGCTAAATACAATTTGAATAACTAGCAAACATTTTCAAAGATATATAACTTTTTATTATTTAAAACATGTCAGCCCACACAACACTGGTGCTTTACAGATCACAAGTCTTATAATGTCTATTCAGAATGATTACAAGCTAGGAGAACAGAAAGGTATTTATGTGAGCCCTAAATAATTATAGAATTATAATTATAGATCAGTTTCAGTCATTCAAAGAGATATGTGACACATGTTTACATGAATGAAACACTTGGTAAACTGTGTTTCTTTCTCTTTGACAGTTCTAAGTGGGCACATTCATGCACATCATTTTAAGATTAGGAAAGTCTATAAACTCACATGGATAAGTATATACAAACACACTAGTTTTATTTTTATTTAGTTATTCTATTTAGAGGCCATCTGAATTATTAGTGATTTGGGGCACCACGCAGATAAAAGGAAAAGAAAAACAACATGGCAAAATCCTCAAAAGCAATTAGAACACAGCCTCAGAAGAGACTGGACAGTCATTTGTCTGAAATGGTATAGGATTTCCTGCCTGAGCATGGAGTTGGACTAGATGACCTCCACGGTCCTTTTCAACTTTATTATTGTTATTGTTGTTATTATTATAATTATAATTACAAAACAATAAAAACTGTGAGGCTCTTCAGCCATCCTTTCCCCAAACCTGGGGGAAAACTGGGTTGTTAATAATTTCTGGAAAATTATTAGGGTATTGATATCCATTCGTTGGCTTGCAATTTTAAATTATATATTTAGGAAGCAAGCTTAATTGAAACAAATAAGACAATCATAAATATTGAGAAGTTGCTGCAGTCTGACATTTATAGTAAATACTAATGAATTCAGTAGGCCTCACCAGAAATTAATGCCAGTCTGATAGATCTGTTAATCCTTGTCCTATGGTTACTAGATGATATCATGTTACTCTGCAACAGGAAATGATCAATTTATGTCAGTCATCAGTACAAAACAAACCCAAAATTTAAATTCTAATATAACACTGACAAGTTAATATTCTTGCCTTTGAAATTGTCAGGTAGACCAGCGGCCCCCAACTTTTGGGACTTGGCGGCACGTCTGGGGGGGGGCGGGAGTTAAGCTGCCCCAGCTGCTCATGCGGCCTGATTCCAAATAGGCCACAGCCCAGATATGGGCCACGGCTCGGGTGTTGGGAACCCCTGAGGTAGAAAATCCAGGTTTAGTTTCATGTTTATTTTGATAATTTTTGACTTTAACCATTTTATTAAAGCTTTGTGTAAAAGAAAATCATAATATTTTAGTGCAATCAATGATGAATCCCTGTGGTTTGTGTTCTTTATCATTTTTATGTTATTATAGTTATTACTAATTTTGTACCAAGTTTATGTAATAAATAAAATGTGAATCTTAATAGTTGATCCCAAACATAGGAATTTATAATTATAATAATTAACGTGGAAACTAGTAGAGAGAGTCAAACATATTATCATGTACAGGTAGTCATCAACTTTGAACTACAAATGGAACTGGAAATTTGATCAATAAGCAATATCATTAAGTGAGTCATCACATGACGAGACCAATTTTTACAACCATTTTTATTGTGGTTAAGCAAATCACTTGGTTGTTAAGCAAATGATAATGATAATTAACT